GTATTTATGGTATTGTCCTGTCACCCTGATACGCACTACTCATGCATTAGGGTTAGACCTGTATCTATAACACTGGGTCGTGACCCACAGAACTCCACAATAATACAACTACTATACACATGCATCAACAATATTCCACCCCGCGCGGGTGCTTTATCCAATCACGGCAAGCTTTGGCTACTGATATACCAGATGGTGGACTACCCAGCCAATTTTAGCAAAGCCAAATGAAAAGCTTGCCACGGGTCATATGATTTGGAATTATTTGCCCAGAGCCCTGAATGTAACGTCGAAGATTTTTTGTCAATGTTCTGGACAATCATTTGCCAGGCCGGCCGCGCAGGGTTCCAAATCTTGCTTTCCAATTTGTCACTCTCCGAGTGGGCAATTTAAGTAAGTGGGTCGAATTGCGATGACCCACCGGCACATTGAAGCTTAAACGGCACGTGGAAATTGGTCCGTGCGCATATTAGCCAAGTCAGATATGATTTCAGACCGGTGGCGGTTTTCGGTTTTTACTCCAGATTTCTTCATGCTTAGCGAATCTAATTTATAGTCTACTCAGGCTGGCTATGCAGCTGGATGCTGGGGCAGCTAGTGGAAATTGAATGGTCACGTGAATCATGTAGCATTACTTTGGTAACAAAAAGTCAATCACATCATGGTCCGAAAGCTCATTGGCAACGACGTGTTCACCCAGTCAATTATCCTCTTCCGTAGTGCTCTGGGTTTCCGAATTTATGTTCTCTATTGCTGCCTCCACAGCTACCATTCGTTGGACAATCTCGTCCAGATCACTGCAAATGGTTCCAGTCTTATCTGCAAGAGTGCTCAGCGAGCTCTGGATCGATCTAAAATGGTATCAGCGGTGGCGTTTCTCAGCAGGGTATCCGACTTACTTCACTCGGGTGTCTAGTCTGATAGATGTACGATTAGCAGCGAGGTTAGAATGGTTCCACGGCAGAGTCAGACACTTACTCGGAGATACACTGGAAGGCGATCATGGTACGATTGTCTGGGGTTTCAGATTCTCCTCCAATTTCCTGCCCTCCTCCAATATCTTCTCTCTGTATCCAGTCTTCAGTGGTATCTTGCGGGATGCTACCCACCAGGTTCGTCCCACGTTGGAGACTGGAGAAGTCGTTCTCCTCGAGAGATTCAACCTCTGTAGTATCACCTTCGGCCGATAGTGAAGAACCTTCTGCACTGTCCGAATCGGAAGGTGACAGCGATAAAGCGCGCTCCAATCGACGCCGAAAGTCCTCATGTTGTTTGGGGCGGGCAGGCTTTCTCATTCCAACCATCTTTGTGCCAGAGAAATGTTAGAACAGTGAATTTGTCAAAAGTAAAATTCGGGCAGCTTTTATAAGGTTTGTCAGGAAGGTCTGAGTAAGCAATTGATGTGGATTTCTCTCGCAACATTGAATTCTGTTGGAACTTTGGCTTCGTCAGATTATGTAGAGCCATGAATGTAAGAAGAATTGGAATTATGGGCTTTTGAATTTTTGAGTGAGGTCTAAGCTGAACAGACATAGTAATCATGTAGAATCTCAACATTCGAGTAAACGGACAATGTCGCCATGTAGAAATTCAACATGCATGGTCAACAGGCAAGGTCAACAGGCAAGGTCAACAGGCAAGGTCAACAGGCAAGGTCAACAGGCACGCTCAACAGGCAAGGTCAACAGGCACGCTCAACAGGCAAGGTCCACAGGCACGCTCAACAGGCAAGGTCAACAGGCACGCTCAACAGGCAAGGTCAACAGGCACGCTCAACAGGCAAAGTTCAACAGGCACGCTCAACAAGTAAGGTCAACAGGCACGCTCAACAGGCAAGGTCCACAGGCACGCTCAACAGGCAAGGTCAACAGGCACGCTCAACAGGCAAGGTCCACAGGCACGCTCAACAGGCAAGTTCAACAGGCACGCTCAACAGGCAAAGTTCAACAGGCACGCTCACCAGGCAAGGTCAACACCCAAAAGCACCATGCAAAGTCAACATGGAAACTCAGCATGCGATCAAATGCAAGTCAAACATGAACACATTGCTCTAAAGACATTCGATTGCATCCAGGTCGTGCAATTGGAATATTGCTCAACAGTAATAGTGATTTTTGCCTATGAGCGACGCAAAATTAAAAGATATTACCTGATTTCTGAAGATCAGGAATTGGTGAAAGTATGTGACACGGAGCGCTTCTCAGCTGCAAAATGCTTGGAATGGCTCATCGGACTAATCCATGGAACGGATTCTGGCTCGAAAAAGTATGACTGACTTCCCCAGTGAAAGATACTTACTACTGACCCTAGTGAGCATTTAAAAGTCAGCCAAGTCCCTTCAACAGCCATTTATAACCATCCCATCAGCATCAATTTAAAAATCACAATGTCCCCACGCAGTATTTTGAGCTGGTCGGGACAAGAAGAAGATAATCTTCTGCAGTGGTTGGATGAAAATCGTGCATTGCCATGGAAAGACCTTCCGGACGCATACAGAGAAAAATTCGGTGTGGACCGCAGCGTTGAATCCTTACGAGGCAAAAATTACCATATTCTGCGGAAGAATAGTCGCACCACTGCCCGATCTCCGAAAAGTCAAGGTCGCCGTAGACGACGAGAGCCCGCCCGCCGCTCGGTTGAACAGACAATCATACACTCAGACGCCCCAGCCAACGCGGCAACCCGGAGCAATATCGATCTGTGGTTCGAGACGATTCTTGCGTCCGAGTCTGATCCTGCTGGTAGCAGCGAATCGACGCTGACAAGAGTCTCGATTTCAGGTATGGGTCCTCTCAAGCTAGATCTATGTATATGCTAAGTTTTCTTTCAGATCGCTTGACGCCAGCGCTTAAAAAATACCGTCCCAAGAAATCACGATCGTCATCATGGATCTGGGAGTATGTACATCGTATGTGCGCCACTGGGAGAATGAACTTCTAAGGTGCGGTGTATGAACATGATGCGAAGCATCACAGGAGAGGACCCTGGCATACAAATGGGTGTGGAGCCGGTGCAAATGAACGTTTGATTCCCAGATATGATCAGATGAGACATGTAGCCTTAAGAGGAATGCCAGTTGCTCCTATCTTTCAAGATCTCAAATAGTGCACAAGAAATTGGATATGATAAAACAATTTTAAGTATACCATCATTTTTGGTGCATCTTGTTCAAAACTAGAGGCCGTGTTTGCTTCCCAGCGGAGGGTGGGTCTGAACGACTTCCCTGCGTGCTTGGTCAAGCTACACTCGAAAAAAGACAGTACTATCATTCTGCGCCTGCGGACGATCAAGGCGGTCTTCAAGTTGGTATTGCCTCGATTTTGAGACAATTATGCACTCTGACCTCAATTTTATGTCGAGTCAAGACCGTTTTCCAGACGGTACCTTGGATGGCGTGCGTAATGACCATACTCGGGTTGAAAGTCCGAACGAAAACTTTGTTCCGTCAAAGCATCCTATTTCTCTCCATAAAATAATATCATGGCTTTGTGGATCCCAAAAAGCGTCCCCTCCAAGCAGCCCAGGTCTTTTGCTGCGAAATGTCCGACTGAATCTCTGATGCCCTCAAGAATCTCACCTAGCACAGGACTTCCCAATAAGTACATAAACAGCTGAAGCCTCTTACTACCACCAAGTCATCAATCTCCTCCATAGACTACACGTGCTAAGTTCGCAGTCTCCAACATGCGTCTTTCTGTGCTCCTCTTCATACTTTGCCCGCTTGTCTTCGGCAATACCCTGGGGATCATAGATGTGGGTGGTCTGTGTTATATCTACTCGAACAGCACACGAGGCTGTACAGGATCCTCGGAGGCTATTGGGGAATTGAATGGTACTTCTTGCTCCAGTAAGTACAGCTACATACAGATCATCTATGGTGCAATTCCACTGACACTCACCAGATCTCAGCACGATAGGGCACAACAAGCGCACCGAGACAGATTCAGTCAATGTGACTGTCTGTGGCCCCCACCGACAAACTGGTCAAGAGCTTGCTTGGATCACAGCAGACAAGAGCGGTCTTCTCAAGTTTCAAAACATCAGAGGAGACACAGCAAACTGTACCATCGGCAAAGAGTTCACGGCGGGGACTTCCTGCTCTGCCCTTAGTGATAGTTCGATGAAATCGGCCGCAGAAACGCCTACATCGATCTTATCTACTAAGGTTATAGAATCTAGCACTGTTGCATCCTCGAGCATGAAACCGACGTCGCCCAAGCCCGTCCCGATGGACTGCTAGTCAAGTGGGGCAGGAGTCGGTGACATTTGCCTTCAACCAATTCAGTTCAATCTCTACTGCATCCGTTGTATTCAGGTCATGCTGATATTTCCTTCTAGCTCCCAGGCTGGGCTTGTGTTGTGGCCTACAAGAATTGATTCAAGTGTACTCGTCTTGCTTTACTTTGACATTTTCCTACAATTTTAATTGAAAGAAAGTAGCGTTAAGGTAGAAAATTTGAGCTGAGTTTTTACCAAAGCAATGGTCAACTTCGTGGTTGCATTGAGAGATCCACGAAATGCCTGACTTCCCGCTGACTTGCGGTCCCTCAGGCGATTAATGTACTACAGAGCGTTGGAAGAGATTGGAAAATGATCCATACACTTGGCTGCGAATCTCAGTGGAGCTGAAGGAAGCAAGCGTTAACAAACGTGATATGCGATACGTCGGTCTATGTCTATCACTCTACCTAATGGCACCAATAGCCCTAAGTGTAAAGACTGACTCCATGTACATAAGGTCAGTGTATGATTGAAGACCAAGATTTTTTTGCTTGAGCATAATATTGAGAGTCTCCAGATTCCACGTACAGTCTGCGACGCGTCCGGGCAGTATAACCGGTTAATGCAATCCTCAAAGCCCTGTCCACTCAGCCGTACATCGGGGCAAGACTCCTGGATTATTCTGCTGAAAGCGTGATAGCCCTGGTATTGGCTATAAAATATCAAGATACAGGTTTTGCGACAAGAGCCATTTTGTCTGCGACGTTGTCGTGAATCGTTCATCCAAAAGGTGGCGGGCCTTCTCCACTGAGAACTTCGGGGGTGAGCCAGAAATCCCAGTCAGCGACGTCTTCTGTCTCGGATTGCAGAAAATCGGATTGGTGGATCGCCTCCTTCTTCACTGGAGCTTCTTGGGTGACGTTGAAGTTATGTGCAGCAAACGCATTTCTGGGAGAAAAGAATATAAGAGGTTTTGTCAGCACGGCGGCCACTGTCCTTCCTTTTATAGACTTACCTGGCAGTTTGCGTCGTTCTAACTAGAAACTTAAGATCAGGGTCCGGGATCATCGGATTACGTACACGGTACGATCATAATTCGGATTCGGATTCGGATTCGGATAAACGAAGCTTAAAGTTGGCCAAGCGGCATCTGGGCCTCGGAGGCATCGAGTCGAGCCCTAGGACTCTAGGAAGTTAAATGAATCCTGATCGTACTTATTTCTTGCAAAGTTTCCGATGCACGTGAGCGATCCTCAAATGCTTTTTGATGTTCTCCCGTGGGAAAATTGATGGATATCTACTAGTTAACTACAGCCAGGGTCCTAAGTCTAGACTGAAGCCCCACTTCAAATTCCCAAGCTTAAGATAGACAAACATGGCATGTGCTATTAGGCTCAGATTTTTATTAATCTGGTGGATGGACCCCTTCTCTTTGGCTTTTCCTATATATAACAACACCATCCGGCACATTTGTCGTAAGGCACAAGAAAAATTCTCTTCGATTACTGCTTAGTCAGATCAAGCGGCCAATTAAAGTGTAGTAGTATTCTGCCATTTAACACCATCTTTTGTCGCCTTATAGCTAGTCTCTCCACTGGTCATAATATTGAGTGATCACTAGACAGACTAAGGCCCCGAATGTGAGTAGTGTTTGTAGTTCAGAGGTGCGAACGTGATATTTATTCGTAAGGAGACGTGCGGTTATATATAACAAGAAAATCAAGCTGATCTCCAACCTGATTATTTGTGTAGTGTTACGGACCCACTTAGTCGACACTGCGGAGAGGGGTTGGAGACCAACCATCCTAGGAACGCAAGGCAGCCTGGCCAGCACGTGAGAAGCCACCTGAGCTCACTGTCGAGGAAAGAGCGCTCGGGCACGGGAACGGGACAAGGAGTGTCACGTGACCGTATACTCCGGGATATACCCCGCGGGGGTAGATCTACTCCTTGGAAGTAGATCGGGAGTATACCGGGTGACTCCCAAATCTACCCCCAAGGGGTAGCCACGGGAGTAGGAGGATTAGATATATAAGGCCAACAGCCGTCAAGGGACTGTTAATGGCAGAGAAATAAGGAGCGGGCGAACGCCTCATTGACGACCGTCCAGATCATCACATTGTAAGGAGATCTGACGTCTCAGTCGGTTCTCAGTCGGGACTTTCCCACGTATCACAGTACTGCTCTCTATCGCTGACTACATCCTGCCTCTCAAAATTTCACGGTATCGTGGCCATTGCCCAATTGGTCTCCGGTGTGGAACGGAGCCGCTCTTGGACCAGCTGGTTTCGATCGACGCAACCCACGTGCCAAATAAGGTTTAAGGTGCCGGCCGATCATTTCGATCTCGCCGTCCCACTCTCTAATTCCCATCTGAGTTACTCACCCTACTCAGGACGATTGCCTTGGCCATTGGCAAATTCTCGATCATGAGTCAATCAATGATTACGAACATAGTGAAATACTCTCTTGCTCATCTCTCTGCAATCGACGCGCGTGGCAGGGCAAAACCTGAGGGTTCACGAGTATCTTTGCAAGACTTCCGATTGGCTGGCTCGGCCACTCAATCATTCTGACCGACCAGGCTACGGGCCCTACTCTACCTGTTTTGAGCAATCTTGATTGGCTGGTCTACTGAGGAATCAAGGGGCCTGGCTTGTTGCGGAGAGCCTATTGTGACTCAAAAGCATCCCACCGTGCCTGGCAAATCAGCTGCCAGCCTGTACCCTAGAAAGGCGTGGATCACTTTCTAGAATTCCCATGTGGCGCAAGACCCACTGTCGATGTAACATCCTGGACCACGAGCCACGGAACTTCATCCTTGACCGGACTTACAAGTTAGCTCTAGAACCTTGTCTCTCTCTCAAATTGATATTAATAGCGAGCTCGTGTACATATTCTGCTCATAACATGTTCTCTGAATGCGCATAGATTAGACACCTGGTAGTTGGGAATAAAGTTACATATCAAGAATAATCTTCCGGTTGCTAATGCATCATGGCCTGCCTGACCTCAAGCTCTATCTCATAATTGCCCTTCGCATATGCTTGGAGCAGGTATGTAACCTATACCGTAGCTGGCTGGTTTGAGTGGATCGAATTTTGACGGTCGGGAATTGGCTTCTGGCTCCTACCGGGGCCAGTGAAGTGGTCCCATTGCTGCCCCGTGTTTGGGATCCCATCGAAAAAGCCGAGTGACTGGATCAGTTCGGTATTGAAAGTCTTCACGGCATATGAAAGGACAGATGGACCCCTTGATCTCGCTGATTTACCCTGACTTTGGATCGCGAGAGCAGACAATTGTGAATCTTGACGTTGTTGGGCTGATCGCAGGCATGGTGCTTCGCAGCCAACATGAGGGGCGACTCCCCTAGAAGATCGGGACAATCGACATCAACCATCTCCTCTCTCGCAAGGCTTGCAACGGCGCGAAGGTCTCCGTAGATCACAGCCAGATCAGTAGAGAATAGCTCATAGATGCATGTCCAGCTGACTGCATTCTTGTGTAAATATGTCGCATTGGCAAGTGCCGGCCGTGGACGTTGCTTTCAAGCATTCGTTTGGTATAGTGTACATGATATTTCACTGACACTACAGAGAGAGATTGATAATGATGATAAAATTTGGTAGTCAAGACCATGGCGTATTTTGGGTGTAAGACGATAACTCTCTCGAAAAAGGCATCAATCTGCTCCCAGGATCCACTTTGGTGCTCCGAGGACCATTTATGCCACTGTTCAGGATCTAAAGCTATGCTCCCGGAAGCTGGGTACTGTCTTCCATGAGCCCTTCTTGATTTGACTGTCGGTATGGTACTGATTGAGTTCAAGATCTAATGCTTAGTAGAAAATTGATAATTTGCTGGGGGTGGAGATTTCTATGTTATACACAATAGCATGTCTGCTTTGTCTACCGTATTCACTCAAGGGTTTTCCTCAAACTCGGGAGAAATTGATAATTTGAGGTTCAAACATCAAGTTTTGAAACTGAAATCTCTCGACCCAGAACTCTGCACCTGAATTCAAAGCCTTCGTCCGTAGGATATCCTACGTGAATCCCTGAAACCATAGTTTCAGTCCCAGTATCAAACACAACGGCTCCAGGATAAGGCTCGGGAGCCCCAGGGGCAGGCTAACCCCCAGGGCCTGTGATTGAATTCCCAGTCTCGATTCGTCCATTCGCGGGATCACTAGTTGAGATCGCAGGGTCAGTCTTATCCTTTTGGCGTAAAAATGATCAAGCCGCAGGATTTTTAGAAAACGCCATACATTTTCCGGAGATTTCTGGACTGGAATTAGAGGGACAGAGGCAAGCCGTTGTGATAATCATGTTTCTTTTTGCTGAAGGTGATCAGACTAATGAAGATTATTATCTACACTAGGGCCTTCGTGCTCGCCAACTTTGGATGATTCTGATATTGATGAACATGTAGTTTTGTCTGGGCTTGCAGTTGGCCTTCAAGACTTTCCCTCACAATTCCTCCATAGATGATGAGATAGAGACCCCTGATCTTGAAATCCATGATGGTGTTTTTGGATAATAGTAAAAAAGGTCACAATAGGAGTAGAAAATTTCAAAGAGGGCCCGGAGGCTTTAAACTCTTCATAAAAGCATATAGAAATACTAGAGCCGAAAGCACTTCGGGACTTTGCTAGCTATATGCAGCGCTGGAAATTTATAGATGACTTTTACCGAGTGACAGTAACCTCGATAAACTAAGATTTCACGCGCTCTCATAAAAAAACCCACTAATGCTATTGGCACAAGAATCGTATACGTAGCTTGAGAGGCCGAGTATCCCTATCCTGAAGAGGCCCTTCTGAGCCGCTTATGATGCCGCCCGAATCAGTTTCACGCGGACGCTTGGCAGCTGGTAAAGTATATGAAATATGGTCAAAATAATTGCCTCGTACGTTGAGTTCGATGCGGGTCTCAGGCGAACTCCGTGCTTTTGGAAGTATTCGGTCGGTGGGCTTAGCATGCTCGTGAATGAGTGAAAACCATTTATTATCAAAATGAGAGCCTTCTTGACAGTCTTTCTCCCCCTGGGACTTTTCGTTGTCCCCTTGAGTATAATGCTCCGAAGTGGTCGGATGGATTTTCTTGCATTTGAACCTTTTTGATTGTCCTCCGACGGCCCCGCTATCGATGTCTGCCAGTGATTCCTCGTTTTCATTTGAATTTGGCGGTCTGGTTATGGTTTCATCTCCTTGAGGTTTGTCGCTTCCAATATTCTGATTGTGGAATGTGCGCTTAGATTCGCGGTCGGCATGTTGGCTGGGCTCAGGATGGTCCATATGGCTTATTGATTGAGCAGTAGAGCAGACTGTATGCCCACTATCTATCACAATACCCGATGCAGAATGACTGTGATGTAGATGGGCACTTAGAGCATACTTAGACTTGTATGATCTATTGCAATCAGGGTCAGGGCATTTGAACCGGTTTCCCTCGCGATGCCTCCTTTGATGGCGATATAAAGACTCTTTGTCCGCAAATCCATATGGACGTCGACAGTCCCTGTAGGTACATTTTATGTTCGGGTCGGCATGGTTTATATTTGCATGAAGAATGCGTTCAGCGGATCTCTCAAATGATTGCTTGCAGCGAGAGCACTTGTGAGGGCGATCGGATTGATGATCATCGTTGTCTTCACCGTGGTTTTCGTGCTCGCCAGGGCTTTGGTGCTTGCCAGAGTCTGAATGGATGCGATTCAGATGGCTATGAAGGCTCCTCTTGGCCCCAAATGATTCTTGGCAGTTGGGCATAGGACAATGTCTAGGATGCTTCATTGAATGACAAGATAGAGACCTTTGGTCTCTAAATCCAAACAGACGTTTGCAGCCCTTGTATGTGCATTTGATCTTTGGGTCGGCATGCTGCTTGTCTTCATGACGATTGCGTTCAGCGGATCTCTTGAATGATTGCTTGCAGCGAAAGCATTTGTAAGGGCGATTGGATGGATGATCATTGTTGTCTTCACCGGGGTATTCGTGCTCGCCAGGGTTGTGAAAAGTGAATAGCATTTCAAGTGCGTACAATGCAGCTATAACCAACCCCTTATTCAGATTCGGAAACAGAGGTGAGTCTCCTAGACATTTAAACATCTTTTCAAGGCTATAATCATCGAGTTCCCATATCGGGGGCTTCATAAGGCCATCCATATGCCATAAAGATGGTAGGACTGATAGACTGTAACAAACAAGCATTAAACTTAGTGTGCTATCAAGGCCGGCTTCTGCTTCTGGCTGTGGTTTTCTTCTCTTTAATCCATTCAGCGATTGGGCAGAAACCTGTTCGATGCGATAAAGTAGGCGATAAAGATCATCTCGTAGATTTCTTTCCTGTACTTCTTTGTTGCAAAACTTATTCCGTACCATCCACACACGGATTGCCTTCCATTCTTCGTCTTCCGCGTTCCAGTGCTGTGACATATCAAAGAGTCTTTCCTGCCCAACCTGAGGAATCCAGTCTTCCTCCTTGCGACGAACAATAAATTCGAGCTGGTCATCTGATGGCGTGTGGGCCTGGACAAAAATATAAGCGAGAATAAGAAGTAGCTGCGCGAATGAAAGGCGACCGAGAGTTAAGCCATTAAGGCCCTTGGACTGGGGATTGTGATTCATTTTGTCAGATAGTTAGGGCGGTCGGGGTTTTCAGATAGTCAGGGGGGTGGGTGCTGTCAAGATTAATATGTTGGTGAAATGGCCATATTTTGATTCCCAAAGTGGGATAGTGTAGAATGCATACCCTACATTGTAAGAAGATATGCTAAGTAGCGGTAGTTCAAATGCAGTGTTTGTCATAACCCCTCTTTGTGGGCTTTTATTTCACTTGTTTCTCAATTATTAATTTTCAAAAGGCATCACAAGTCACATTTACTCTCATCCTTTTGTAGGATGCAATTTCCATACATCTACTTGAGGCATCCCCCAATATCTTTATATCTCTCTAATATTTTTTAACGCTGTTACCTCAGTCAGCCCACGGCTTCCCGTACGTGGATCAGTTTACGGAATAAATCAGACCTTTGCAGCTTTATCCCGCCCCCATAATTTAAACCTGCGAAAGTTGTCATGGAAGTCAATGACAATTGGTACGGTTTCCTCCGACGCATATCAATGCTCATGAGTATGAATCAACCAGATCAGGGGAATAAGTCTGGCAGTTTGCAAATTCTGTCGACAGATCATATCATCACAGAGGCACTAAAAACTTGGAAGCTAAGATAATTCTGGGTTTGCTCGTCTGATTGTTTCTGTATTGCCTGCCGCCTTTCCAACAGTTGACTACTGATGAGGCGGCAGAACCATTCCAGTTTTGGCGGAGCGCGAATAATTAAAACATTATTTTTAGCTTTAAAATCAAAAAGTTAGAGGCCAAAAAAGAGGAAACAGAAACTGATTCCTCAAAGGGGTTCTTGAGATTAATTCATTAGGCCCCCCCTTACTTTCTCTGACCACTAGGGCCGGCTTCACATAACATCAAACAACAGTGGGTAGGGTTGATGGTCTCAGCCGACAGTGGATCAAGTCGAGCTAAAACCTGTCCAATGGCAGCGAGGATTGTCGAACTGGAAGAAGACTTGCTTGCTGCCATACCAGATTCCGAAATTGCTGCTCGTGCTCCTGCTTGCTTCATAAAGGAACTTCGCGAAGGGAAAGGTAGTCATTCACGTCGTGTGATCTTAGTACTGGGATTGACCACCATTTGAAGCCCCGTGAACCAAAGATTTGAAGGGAATATCTCCGCCAAAAAAAAAATGTTATGTGACGCGTCCTGGGAAAGCTGCGGCAGATCATGAGAGTAGGCCAAGACTGGTGGAAGACATTACGTCTATGGAGGGTATGCATTCTACGCTATACTGGTTTGGGCAGAAATGCTGTGACTATTCCTAAGAATTATACAGCACAGAACAAGCGGAAATTTATCTGATTTTGCCGTCCTTAGCTCACCAACCATCACTGTGAAATTTGGATTTTCTCAGAGACCTGGCTCTTAAAATTTATCCCAAATATGATTCGGTTTGTCGCTCTCAAGGACATTCAGGTGGCGTTTAAGGCCAGTAAAAGCATCGATTTGCCTGGTTTATATTGAGATGACCAAACATGTTCAGGATTGGAAAATATGTTGAGGCTTGCTTTGTAGAAGATTCATTGAACTGCAGTCCGTTGTTGTAATGATCCCCAGTGCCAGTTCGATCCATAGATTTAGAGCACATGTGAGTAATATACCACTTCAAGGAGGCCGACGGAGAACCTTCATGAAAATGTCAGGATCATTGAAAAGAGTGCTTTCCCGTGTGTGGCACCCCATACATGATGTGAGTCCGAGTTGCATACAACTGTGACCTATTTTCCGCGTCATCGCTCGGCACCCACGAACCGCCGCTTATCCCAGTTCGTAGTGGGAGTACGAAGCAAATTTCGGCAAAGACTCCGGAGCAGTGGCTCCTGAGCAGGGAAGGGTTATTCCTATCAGCATCCAGTAATGATGGTCGATAGATAATAGCGTGGCGATATTAAGTATGAGGGAGATGGCGGGGTCTCGCACATCGGGTATCCCTTCCCACGTTCCCCGGCCTTTAGAGACTAGCACCTTCCTTTCCTGGCTCTTATGCCCCGATTGGCCGGCTTCGGCTGAACGAAGGCTGGCCCAAACCCAAAGGGATATATGTTGACTCGGCTGTAACTGTATTTGCGAGTATTTTTTATCCAGTAGGCTTCCACCGACCGCAGATATGCGCTTGGGATGACTGGATAGTGTTGAGGCGTTCTTATCAAAGTTGAGTTTGGGTTTGCCCTTTGAAAAGGGTTTCAACTTTTTCATCCGCCAGAAGCATAAGCGGGGGCAGGAACTACGAGGTTGGAAACATACTGGCATGTATGGCTTGTGGTGTTCTTGAGGGCGAGCCCAGTTGAAGGGTGGCAATCATCCCCGTGCGTCGGATGGGAGGCTGCCCAAGGCGATGGCCAGAGCGTTGGTTGGAGCGAAAGTTCTAGACTCTTTCTTTTCACTCCCATATATGCTAATGTGGCCTTGTACTCATTGATCCCATATTACCGTGTCTTTAATGGTGTAATACCAGCCAAATTGGAACATCCGTTCGACGCGCCTCCGAAAAAAATTCAGCCATGCATATGCGCCCATTGGCAAACTCACCTGACGCCAGCAAACAGGGTTAGTAAGTTGCAGCTAAGCAAGCTGGAAGTGAGCCTATTTCATTCATAAGCTACAGAAAGATTATGTGCCCCTAATTTATGAACGTACATGTAGCCCAGTTCCCAGGTTTGGATAACTAACTAATTGATGCAGTGCCTCAATTCACCCTAGCCTCTTGCCTAGCAGCCAATGAGCGACTTTTCCCGTTTTGTAATTTTCGCCATGTTAGACCTGGGAAGGCTATCAAACTTTTCCAAGTTTAGAGCACTCATAGTAGCTTGAAACTATTAGGGTTTCCTACCTCGTTGTAGCGAAATGCAACACGGCTGCACTGGGAATGACCTTCTGTCTCAATGAAATTACGCTTGTGGTATCACCAACCTGTCCGAGTATGCCGAAGGGAAAGGGAATGAGACCAAGACCTAAGTTATGTCTTCGGAGCATCTCTACACCCCTGTCATTTTTTCGGCTCGAACAAACGTAGTATGGCGGCAATTCATCATTTTTTACGCCAATGTAAAATACGGCTAATGCAATCGAAGATTACCCATCACATATTGAAGTGCACCTTAGGTCTGGGCGTACTGGGCCGAGCCATGACCCAGGATACACTGTAGCTTTGTGGGTCCAATAAAAGCCACAAGGAATATGACCGGGTACAGTCCGATAGCTCATGCATGTCTTATTACTAAATTCATTTGCACCCACTGAATTGCCTCCACCTGACAGAGGCGTCATTGCTGTATACGAATGAGTCACCCGCGTCATTGTATATAAAGGGTAGCATACTTTCACTTTTGAGGACCACTGATTTCCTGATTCAAAATCCATTTCTCCAGAACACTCTTAGCTTGAAAACATGAGCTCTATACTGCCCAACAACCCTCCTCCGGATTTCGTTGTGACGAAACTCATTGTCATACCTATGTCTGCTCTCCGAAGTCAAAACCCAGACATCGACCGCTTCAGCGCTGGCTTTATCGTTCTCCGCCATGATCCAGCCCATTCTTCTAGGCAACAAGTTCTGCTAATTTAACGTGGATACGATGGCTCATGGGGTGGGAGCTGGGAGGGACCGGGTGGTGGATATGAATTTTCACGGGACGCCACCATAGAAGAAACGGCTTTGGGTGAAACGGTAGAGGAAGCTGGCGTGACTGTTCCTCCAGAAGCTATTTCCCCTTTCGTTTGCAAAGCAACATTCAAGCACAAGGGCTTGCGAATGGCTTATTATACATTCATTGCGCACATCGATCAGGAATTTTCTGTTAAGCTATCACACGAGCACCTTGGTTGGGGCTTTTTCAGCGACGAAGAATTTCAGGGGTTCGGCTCTTTTGATAAGACGGAAAATGGACAGGGGAGTGATGTCATGCTTGCAACCAAAAAACGAGTATTGTGTCATATCTTCGAAAATAGTGAGAGGTTGAAGCAAAGCGATGATAATGGCACCTTACCAGTGGATACCTCTTGTTGAAATCGCAGAAATGGAGTTTCCTCAGAATTTTTATTTTTGTGACTCTAGCTTATCAATGCGTTCTCAAATTCTTGCCTTGGAACATCCTGAAATTTTCGAGAAATGCCATCCCTAAATATGACGACTTGAATGATGTCCCTCCTACTTTAGAAAGACGTTCCACTTGAAGTTGATGGTGATATGTCAGCTTTGATCCCTGAAGGTATTGGAAAAAACATGAAGGACAGAATAGGAGGTAGCCATGTAAACGAGAGGTGGTTTTACTACTTTATTTCGCGTCAATCCATGCTAAAGAGCGAGATGGGTTCACTTTGTCATCTAGCGTCGTGCAATGAAAATCGCCCGCCCGAAGCTGAACAAATGAAGAGCTACTTTTTGTGGTTTGGAACTAAGTGGAGTTTCCTAGGGTGGATCAAAATGATTCTCGGAAGAATTGAATCTGAATTGCAGGCATTGTAAAAAAGGTAGACATGACCCAGCATGCGTAAGCGTGCCATTGGAGATCCCTCATCATTGGGAGCCGGCTACTATTCAGTGCACTGGATGTCCATTCTGACCCAATTTGTGAAAATACTAGCAAAAAATATTTGTTCGTGTGAGCTGTTAAAATGAGCAACACTAGATTACAAGGAGGAGGGGGAGAATTCCTGCAGCTGGGGTAACTCATATCGGATATGGTTTTTACTTGACTTCCTTCTCAGTGATCATAAAACTCAATTGACAGTTGCCTCAAGGCAAAGCTTGTTCCAAGGCTGCGACCTGGCCAGGTTGAATATCTGTTCATCAATATGATATGTTACTTGATTGCTCAACAGACCCCTGCTTATTTGCTGGTGCATGGAGTGAATGTGGGAAGGGAAGCGTGGTGACAGCCTTGGATAATCTCGCGCACGGGACAAAAACTATTCAATGTCCGGTAAAACGAAGACTTCAAAGCAATATCTCGGGTAAGTGATGAATATGAGGTGACGTGTCCCTGGAAAACATTGAAAAATAATGAGTCTTAAGTGCAGAGTCATCTCGTGTATGGAGGGCATGCATTCTACGCTATACCGTTTTTGGCAACAATGCTACGGCCATCCCTAGACAGTAGAGAATAAACGGGAGATTTTCTCGCTTCGCCGTCTTTGACTTATGAATCATCTATTTCTGATGAAAGTTCCATTTTGCAGACAATTTGTTATCATAGTCTATCCCAAAATTGATGCAGCTATCGCAGTCAAGGATATCCAGGTGGCGTTCAAGGCCGAGAAAGCTATCGATTGCCGTCGGGGGTAGGAGCCACCCTTAAGGAAGGCATCCGAAGTTTCAACCATCGTGATCGTGTCCTTGTTGTCAATTGGCTCATACAATGCCTTTAAAACGTTCTATACCACGTCCGAAATTGACAAAAAACATCGCGCTCTATACTCTGGAGCATGCAGGGTGCATCGTGGGGCGACCTCACCACTTAATTCTACGGCCCTTGACTCGTCTCTTGTGCGTGCTCCCGGTCCTGTAGGGCCGTGGCATATAAACCGCTGCCCCAACACTTTTGTACATTGCGCCACCACAAGTTGGTCGAGTCTTGTCCGTGCGGACGAGATTTGACCGAACTGGAATAGTGTGTCGGAGCGTCTCTCATCACATTCTGATTGGCAAACCCCCATGTGGCGGGCATGCAGTGTCCCAGCTCTGACTCATCTAAACCTCGTAGATTGACCAATCCTGACCCCATTCGTGAGCTTATACTACGTGGTCACACGTAGCCTGGTTACTGCCCTCCTACAGAAAGTCGGCAAAGGAGCTCTGGTGGGATTCCAGTGCTACGTAAAGGCTGCTTGTGGCAAAAAATTAGGCAGCAGGAAATTAGGCTGGCCCCCAACGCCGATCTGGGCTGTGAACTCTTGTTCTCTATTGGTAGCCTTGCAGCTCAACCCGGATTTCCGCTCTGGATTTCGGACCAATTATAAGCCAAGCGGATGCTATATCGGTCAATTGACCCCTGTGGATGATCACCCGGGTTATAGCTATCCGCATTGTCTCGTGTTGATACGCGAAAGTATAAAGACCCTCTGTAATTCTCTTAGGTTTAGGTCTAAATAACCAATCTTTCATATTCTTCCAAACCAACACAGTATAACACAAATACGCAGTTGTCGCTCTTCTTCTTTCCAGATTCCTGAATCCCAATAAGTCAGAAGGAATGAATGGCAATGCAGCGGACGAACAAGGTGTGACACCTGATCAACATTTTGATCGCCCTACAGCTCAAGGTGAGCAAAGTCCCATGATCAGATTGCCCGAGAGGCTCTAGCTGATGCTAAATATAGGACTCTTCTCTGTGTATGAGCCACCTTGGGTCATATATGAAGGGTACAAATTCTTTCAAGCGGACCCAATCCCCGGCAAAAAGGCCTCATGGACAAAAGTGGAGCGAACAGTGGTGCGCATGACGCAGGAGGATTTCTGCAGGATGGTCCAGAATCGGGCAAACAAAATCTCTGCAGCTCAGCAATATCAGTTTCTGTCAGAAATTCGCCAGGTGCACGTGAATCAGTTAATCGCAGAGAGGCGACAGCTTATTCCTCAGGGGCAGTGGAGTTGTGTTTATGCCAAAGAGCATGAGAAGCCCTCTAAAGCTCGCAATGCACACCCCGCGGACTATGAAGTCGTCTACATGCAGATAGTTCTGATGCAGCGACCTATAAGCACGAATATGCATTGCAGGACGCCGATGGGGGATCTCGTGGACCTGGGCGCCTACTTTAGAACTCGGCCTGGTAGCGAAAAATGGACTAGTGATCAGGTAGACCATGATCAACGATGGGATGCGACGGATGACAAAGAGACAATGCATGGAGAGTCAGTTACGCCTTTCCTGGTGCCACCAGCTGCTACATACGCTTTACACCTTTCTGACTCCTGAACAGAACGCATAGCCCCCCGGCTCATCAAGGTAATTCAGGCCACGCCTCAGAGACTGAAATTGAAAAGGGCACCCCCTTATCCCATTCCCATTGCACGACATCAAATCGATATTCCACTGATGAAAGTCCACCTGATATGCATTATGCGTGTCAAGAGTCTGCGCTCACTCAGAATGAGCCCTTTGATGAACGACAGCACAGGGCCAGCCATCACGACTCCCGCTTTGGGTCCGAGCATGAGCAAAAGCCTGTCGTTGTCGACAGTTTCTTGAGAGACAGTTTTTCGGGTACTCCGCAGAACACCGCCATTGAGCCCAGACCCGTCAAACGGCGGCGAACATTCATTGGTGATTCCATTGTCGACGGGAGCTGCGGAAAAAGCTTGTGTATTGATCGAATGGAAAAGGAGGAACTATGCAACCAGCTTCTGGAGTTCGGAGTCCAAATAATGGAGTTGAAGAACGAAATACTCAACCTGAAGGTGTGGATCCAGGGTTCTCCCGACCAACACTCTTATCAATAAATAGCGATAGCTGGGTCTGAAAGGCCACATACTGAGTATTGATCTTTTTCAGGGCGAGGTGGTGGATATGAAGTGGGGTGAATAGACGATGGACGATGGTAATGGACTATGTATACAGTCGAGGGCCTGGCGTGGGATGATAATACGGATTTCTGCTCATAGTAAACACTCATGGATCTGCATTGTCTTTCCACTTCCAGTTGTCTCATCTCATTCGAGTTAGACATTGGATATGTTTGAATTATGCGTGAGGAATCTCGATCTTTTGGTGATAGGGTATTGGCCGTATCTTGCATTCTGAGCACCTTGGTGAGACTCCCGAGGTCGCGATTTTCAGCTTGTGATTGACCAGTTATTGGGTGTAGTTTTATTGGGGTTGCCTGACAATGGCCGACGCTACCGCACGTGATGTATGTCTACACCGACATTATGGGGGACTGAAGACTTCCCCCTCCTACAAATATCGTTACAGTATTTTGTTGTCTTGTTTCCTAAGCCTGTCAATAGCGGTGGCCTTGCAATACTCGGTTGGCATTATAGGCTCTCTCTATAAACCAAGTCCCAGCATCAAGGCTCCCCACCACGAGGGGCACGATATCCAAATGACTGCTTTGGTACAACATAAATTAAACGCTCTTCCGTAACAAACATCACCGGTCTGTCGCAGCACCTGAAAGTTGAATCTGATCTCATTGCACCAAGTCCTTGCTCACGGGCACCGGTTCGATCTTTTCTGTGGGCGGGTTAAGTTGCCATCGCATTAGACGTTGCACTCTACCGCTATGGTGCCAACCGACAGCTAGTAAAGTCTAATTCTCAACGAGGTCGCCGAGGAGCGTCTCCACCGCTCTCTGAACGTTATTATTATTTCACTTTCCTCATAGCATATCCTACCTTCATTTTCCAGTTGGCAAATTGAAAGGAAAATCACATCCAGATAAACAGACCGAAATATGTGCGGCCCTCGGAAATCGCCTTGGTCTCCAGCGTTGAGGGAACGCGAATTTGCGACTTAGAGACTGGGGATTGAAAAATTATTTGGGAGACCTGTGAAAGTTGGAGAGGAGGGATTGAGACTTCAGGGGCAGCGGATACGCCATTTGAACATCCTGCTCAGCCTGCCAATTCCCTTTGTTTGCTTGACAAATAATATCCACGGAATCTAGAAGATCCAGTTGCTCCTGAGTACAGAAGCCCTCAAGCGCCTCTGTTGTGAAGTTTTTCAATGTCATAATGGATTTGAAGTTTGGAATAGAGATTCCGGGGTCCAACGTTTGGAGGCGAATCCAGGTTGTATAATTCAAGAGCTTCCAGTTAGCAAACAGCCCCCGCCCTGTAGTTTTTCGCGCCACAGGAATGTTAATACGACAGTTACAATTATTTTTCATATTGGAGCGTCGACGCATTTACATACACGCACTCCCATCCCACGTTCCATTGCTGTGTCCCTAATGGATAATTCGTCACATTCCTGAACAGATAGTTTGTTCTTCGGCTTTCACGCATCCTAATTGTGTTCAAGTCCAAGTTGGCTTTAGACGAGGCAATGAGAATTGACCTCATCAGAACTGAAATATTTCCAAAGAAGATCCCCAACCCCTATCTTCGACTGCACGCCCAGAGTGCTAATTATAGAATATGGTAAAGTCCCCTGAGGGGGTTTTAGTGAAAACCAACCGTTGGATACCGTGGTATTTTTTAGTCATCTTACCAGTTCGGCCAATATTATCCATTGAAGATAGATTTCGTATCGTGATGCATAAGTAACAATAATCCTGGCCGGATCAAAGATAGCAGAACGTTGTTCAACCACTCACAATATTCCACCCGCTCTTACGTCCGCCAGTTATTCTCTTATGACTTAATGACCCTTCGCACAAAATTCATAGCTTCTTCTACAATTTGATACTCTGCCACTGGAAAGGATTGAAAAGAAAATGGAATGCTGGCATTATGTGAATTTTTCAGAAGCAAACCTGTTCTAGATAATTGTTCATGCCAGCCTGGTGTTACCGATCCTACTGTAACGCCCAAGAATGATCACTCGCCTAATTAAGAGTGGGCTCCCTGATGACTGAGAGGATCCACGAAGTCGCATTAAAAGAATTGATGAATGCGGACAAAGAATTGAGGAATGGATAATTCTTTTACAGGATAATTCTTTTACGAAGAATTATGGGCATAATGCAGGCTGAGCCAGCATTTTCGGCTATGCTTGACCTGTAAAAAATGTTATTACAATCGCGATATGCATCTTACAAATATTTGTCCTCCTCCCTGTCCAGATCCCTAAGTCCAAAATATCTCTTCTAAATCCTTCAAGTTTTGACTGGCCACATATTTCCCCATTTCACACAATGATTAGATGTGAATGCGGCAAGGCCTTCGCAAATGGCCCAAACCTTCGACAACATCGAAAAGCCGTTCATAGTCGCGAATGTCCTAAGTGCAGCCGGATATTCACGACGCAAGGGGGCCTAGACAATCATATACACGATGTTCATCGCTGGACATGTGGTCGTTGTGGTGACAGTTTTCGCAGCCTCAAAGCGCTAAATCGTCACAGGAGGTCTGCAGATCACTGTTTTTGTCGTCCGTGCAATCAATTCTTCGAGACTTCTGACGAGCTGCACCGACATCAGAAGACACCTGGTCATGTGGAACAATATCGTTGCTGCGAATGCAATCGAGATTTCGTCAACGAGACTGCTCTTGAGCAACACCTGCGGGAAACAAAGCAGCATAAAATTACTCGCCCAGGGAAAGGAAGTCACATATGCATCAGATGCAACAAGGGATTTCGGACCGATTCTGATCTGAAGCAGCATGAGAATTCGCTAGCCCACAACGCAATCAGTAGCCTGGAATGCATCGATACGCAATGCAAAAAACACTTCAGATGCCCTTCGTCACTTCTGCATCACCTCGAAAGTGGCATGTGCGTTTCTAAAATGGACAGAAGCCATCTCAATAAGCTGGTCTGTGAGCTTGAGACTGATCGCGTCTTATGCGATCAAAATCTGCTCGCCGCTTCTGATGATTTTGGCGGTGACGTCTCCGACAGCTGCTCAGACTACGATATTATCTACACTCCGGATAGTACATCGTCCGCCGATTCGATCTCCTTCTCCCAGCCAGTTCTTTCAAGTGAGAGATTGTCTGAGGATGTATTCTGGTCTTCAGCGAAAGTACGGTGCTGGGAGTGTTCAAAGACATTCATGTCCATTGACTCTCTTGAGCAACATCGAAATTCTGCTGCTCACGCACTCCCCATTTTTCACTGTCCAACGCGTCTATCTGGAGGGAAACACCCATTTGGTTTTATTCAGACGTTCAAAACACTGAGCGGACTTGCGCAACACCTCGAAGCAAAGTCATGCGTCGGTGGAGCTTCTACATTGCGCCAAATTGCAGCCTATGTTGAGGACCGCCTTCGAGAGATTGGGTGGAAGGGGAAACTCCTTATCGAAGATTTGAATTGAAAATTGGTGTAATTATGAACGCAGTGCATTTCTGGCCCGCTAAGTGAGGGTAAATTACTTTGCGGTTCCATCAAAATGTGTCTCAAAATGGTCGACATGTCAGGCTGGCGGTGAACTATTCTGGATTCTTGCAGCATATTGTATGTATTGCATTTCAGAAGTGTTAAATTTTTTAGTCATTCAAGAGGAATAACAGGCAGGTGGGATCAAAGAATCGAGAACGTATAGTCTCCATTGTTTCCCTCTTGAGATGATTGACCGTTCATCTGATGGGGCAAGTCCGTGACCTCACCGATTCTGGTGAAAGTCGCATGGGAGCCATTCTATCAATGACAGGAGTGAGTGAAGCAAGTTCACACGTGATCTATCAGAAAGCAGAGTTGCCCAAGCGTGCTAGTTATCATGTCCATCAAAGCTAAAAAAAAAAAATCGACATTATTGTTGTAGACATCTTGCCTTGCCTATAATCGGTGATAGACACGGCGGTCGCTAGTTGTGACATAGACTTTCCCTCACTTTTTCTCGACATAGAAGGAATAAACCTTGGCCGGCATGGCTCAATCTCTGTCGTGCGTGTCGTTGTACACGTTCCCCCCAAAAGCTCTGTTTACCTGATCGATATCTATGGACATGGAAACGATACATTTCCATTAGTCCACAGCAATGACAAATCTCTAAAATTCGTTCTGAAATCTTCCGCTATCTTGAAAGTAGTATTCGTTATTCGGCATGATTCAGACGCTTTGTTTGCTCTCTATGGCATCTCTGTTGATGGGATGAGAGATGTTCAATTGATGGAGCTGGGCTGGCTAAACTTTGCAAAGAATGTATCGGCAGACTCGTCTTCAGAGTGCAGATTCGATCAAGAAGAACGTTGATTTGTGATACCAACTTGATCGTCAGCTGATCACAAGATATAAGTCATCGACTCAAACATCGCGGATAGTTGATGACCAGGATTGAGTAATTGTTCCAGGCGGATGAATTAATTATCCTTTCCGCCATTAGAAAGGACGAAAGTGCGGGGTAGCGGCTTCCTTGTTTTCAATTCTACCCCTACAGGGCACTCAACCGTCAGATTTGAAGCCTGATCATGGAGTCGAGAAGTTCAATTCCGTTTATTGAGTATGTTTTGCCAAACTATGTCATGTGGAAAGACGTTACTAAGGAATAGAGAGCAGCTTTCTGGGATCAAATACTGTTGAGCTTCGCACAAGCTCAAGCTCTGGGTCATGGAAAATTCACCGAGACCTGTTGAAGTCGAAATGTAAAGCTGTAGAGTCGGCATTTTCTCACGACTTTCAAGAGAATACCTCAGGCCAATACACATTCCTTGAGACAACTCACGACACTGTGGCACGGTTCATCGAGTGGGCGTACAGGGGAGATTATACGGAGGCCGACCTTACGACTGTGGAGCAACCTGAATTAGAGCAAGCTCAATCCGAAAATCCAGATGCAGAGTCAGGGCGCGACGAAAAGAAAGCTTTACAAGCACATACCCTATTATGCCACCTGAGAGTCTATATATTTAGTGACACTTACGTGGTCCCTGAACTTAAAATTTTGGCGTTCGCGAAATTCACAGCCGTTGTGGTGAACATGCGGCAGCCAAAAAATCGAAACGAACAGCTTGCGGTTATCGATTGTTTATCCGTGGCATTCTCGAAGCTACCCCACCACGATACACTTCTGGGTTGGTTGGCTCAATACGCATCTTGGTCCATTAGCAGTTTACGTCTTCAGTCCAAATTTCAAGAACTTGTCCAAAAATCGCCGTCGCTCGTTGGTCGAATGATGGAAACTTTAAATCCGGCTAGCGAAGCCCCCTGGGACACTAAGTCACCGAAATACCGTGTCCCCTCATATCATGCTGGCGCTTCCTGTGATTACGGTGATGATGCTTACTCTGATTGATCAATTGGATAAAATGAAATTTCATAGCTTTTTCATCATCTTCCTCAATGAGTGGTCAATGGCATTTCAATTTCGTATGAGAATGCGCAAAGCGACAATGGACATTTTCATCTCTTGCCATTTTGATTATGCGCCAAATTCAAGAATTCAAATGTAGCTTTTGATAGATAGCTTGTCCATTGATTCATTGTGCAAATACACAACGCCCAATCAATCAATTCGCTAACATAATTCTCTAGAACGTGATCCAAAGTAACGAATTATGTTCATTTTGATAAACAGCACCAATAACAAAGCTCTTTCCAAGATTGCATCCCGGCTTAGATTGCCACCCCAAAGCTTCGAATGCAGTTTTGAGAGCTCATTCGCAGAACTCAGCATTCATCGAAGTGTGCACGGGATCCCTCCTAGTAATCCAAGCAACCGGATATTCAGTTGATCAAATCCACTAATAAAATTCACTGCTCGAATTCACGGATCAAATTCACTGATCAAATCCACTGGTCAATTGCTCGATCCGATCAGTATCTGTAGGAAGAGATCAGTATGAATAAACTTAGGCGAGGAAAGATGGGGGGCCGAGCTGAGATTTGATACTTCAATCAGCAACTCCTACTCTGAAGAAACTCTGAAATTCCTGCGGGGAAAAGTGGCTGCAGTCATTCTCTAAATTTCACCATCCAATGCGAATACTTTCGTGTGGCTTCAGCTGATAATCCTTTTGTTTTCTTAGAGATGTTTAATTGCAGGAGCTTGCTTTCTAGGTGTCTGTCTGCCCCGAGGATATATTGATGGATTCATCGTATGAATAGGGTCGAAGGAAGCAGCTATGTGATATTGTCTCGTACAGTAATATTTGCCCCTCAAATCCGCCCGATGTATGCTCGGCGAGCTCTAGCTGGGTATTCATCGATGTGCCCCTCAGAGATACAGTACTATCTATGCAAGGGTAATTTAAGGAGACGCCTGAATAGACGGTGATCCATGAATGTCCGCTCACATATGACTGTATATATTACTATCAAGTTTCCCCGCTTCCATTCTTCTAAATCTGCGAAAAAATCAGATCAAAATTTTTCTTCCAGCCTCGAGTTCCTTCATTTGTTTCTGCAATGAGCGACGGTTTCGCTGAACAGATGCTTCTTCTCCAGCGATTTCGTCCAGTTGTTCATGCGGGAGATTGTAGACCCACGATGGGGAAAATAGTTTCATCGGAGCGTCAGGGCCTGTAACCAGATTGTCATCGGCTGCCTGCATACACATGTTGTCAATGAACCTTTTCCGCGCGACTTTGTAATAGGACTTCAAAATATCATGAATATCCTGCACAGTCTGCTGAGTATTGCTCATGTGGTGGATCTGAGTAAGATCGGACACTCGCACACATTGACTGGTAGAGAGATCGCTGTGGTCCACGGAAAATGACGATTTCTTCACTGCCGAAGTGATGCGTTCTTGGCGACTGTCTTCAAGTCAGCGCAAAGTACGTAGGGTTGGGAAAATCAGTCGTACCATTTTTGCAAATTACTGTTCAGGTAATGATTCTGTGTCATTGGAGTTCCATCTCTTTCAATTCGAAGAAGAGTCTCTGTCATGGAAAGTGCCTGCCGGTATCTCTTCGTGAGGTCTTCTATCAGGTAGACCAAGATATTTTGACATAATCTGCGGTCCCCACAACACGCGCTCAAGGCTTTTGTAGTAAAATTGTGAACCATTGTGACTATGTCACAAATGTAGCCTTGAGCCAGGGATGGCCATTTAGCGGATTGTCTCTTCATGACGGTTGGAAGTATCGAAGAACTAAATGTTCCCAATTCAAACCCACGAGATTCTTGGTACAGATCTTCAATCCAGCAAAGAATCCCTTGCGGGATGGAGTCCTCAATTTGAACACAATCATAGAGGATATCCTGGATATCATCACAAGCCTTAAGCTTCTGGCTGAAAATTGAATCATGCTTTGGATTTTTTCCATCATCGTCATCTTCGCCGTCAAAATCTCCACTGACCACAGCATCGACAGAGCTTGACGTAGACGTCGCTGGGATAATTGGCTGAAATTCCGAGTCCTCATCATGTGCATGTGACTTGAACCCGTATAGATGACCATGTGAAAGGAAGTCGTCTGAAAACTTTGCATTGCGATTTGCAACCAGCGTTGCCAATCTCAAATCAGGCTCCTTGTCGAATTTATCTTCTGACGCATAATTCGTGTGAAGAGCATTCTCAGTGATACGTTGAAACTTCGTGACAATCTCAAGCAGAAATTTCCGTTGCTGATCGGCGGTTACACGCTCTTCTCCAAGATTTTCAAGCATCTTCTTGCATCCTTTCAGTTTCTTCGAAACCTCAGATCGAACCTATTGGAAAGATCAGTGACAATACTGTATGCCGATTTTTTTGGAAGACTTACTAATGGAAACTCCCGTCGCACATTTGACGTCAGAAGTATTTGCAATCGCGCTCTCAAGGCTCCAATGCCATAGTTATCAGTTGAGAGTTGGTTCCACGGTGGTGAATTTCGGAAACTCTCCTCTTCAAGGTCACGACTTTTGGATGAGTCGTGAAGGTCTTTCTGACCAAGGTTTCTGACTACCACCCAGCCTAATCCTTGACACTCTTGCTTCCCTTCCACGAGTTCAATAATCTTGTCTTCAGCCCCCCTATCCACAAGGTCTGGTTTTTTGAGGATGCGTAAGGTTCTCAACAGATCTGGATCGAGTTCTCTGGAAATCTCGATTATCTCCTGCGTTGCCATATCTACATTTGCTGGCACAACAACTAGCATAATTGACCGTGGATTGTGCATATAATCAAGTACCATATCCCTCACGAGGGAGATGTCTGATTTTGATGTTAGACCAGGCGTTGTAGTTTTGAAAATCCCTGGTACATCAATCACGCTAAGATGGTTTTCAAGCGGGCCACGAATCTCCAGTAGAAGGACGTCGGAAGAGAAAGTAGGTAGACCATCTCCTATCGAGGTCGACAGGCCCATTGCCCCATGAACCTTTAACAAATTCAGTTGATATAAACCCCTGATATGACCAGCAGAATAGACTTACCTCAGCCATCATGGTCTCAAACTCTGTCTCGTTCAATGCTTCGACATTTGAAACGGTCCAGCTGGGACTTTCCTTTCCTTCATCTGACCGTTTTGGGATAATAGAGCCGCTGACTGTTCGGGACTTCAAAGTTGGGTCTCTTCGGAATCTAATCTGTGTCGCAAATCGGGTACACAATCCACTGTTTCGAGGAAACTTCAACTTGGTTAGGCCTTCTAGGACAGAGCTTTTCCCACTTGACTGGTCCCCAACAACGACTAATTGTGGCAGATTGATGTGCTCTCCCACATTGCAAGCAAATAACTTGTCAATCTTCTCCAGCAAAGAAGGGTCAGCCAGCAGGGTGCTGGCTGATGCCTCGGTGTCCTGCTTGATAGTCATGTTCAAAGTTACGAAGGCGTAGCTCGATTGAATTCCTTCGCTGTATATAGCTACAGATCTCGTGTGATTAGTTCTGCTCTCTCTACATTTTCCTGTCTGCGTTGACATTCGGACATCGATGTTCCATCGCCCTTGCATGATGTTGCTTCGGAGGATACCCAGCCACGAGAATTCCTGATTAGCTCCCATGAAGATTCCTCACGCCAGCAACATTGCGCTTCACACTCGCTTCAGTGCAGGTGAAGCAGCGAAGTACAAAGAATTCTGTTGAAGCAAGACATATTGCTATGTAGAGCTAGCAGTTAGGAAAAAAGAGACCACATTTGCACAGACTTGGAGAAAGTCATTCGATTTAATAGCCCTTGCGCACTTTGACGCTACATAACAAGAGCTTCCTCTGCTATGAAGGGGGGTCAATGGTGCTGTTGAGCATTGTTGAATAAAATGGATCATTGGCCGAAGCAAGCTTTGGTGACATTCTTTGCGAGGATCATCATGTCGAATTCAGCAGATGGCGGCTTTACACGAGAATGTTGCAAATGCCCTTTTAGATGATACTGGGAGATTTAGGGACTTATTTGACTCACCAAACTCAGCATTCTAAACTAGTCTCGGAGATTTGTGGCTGAATCGATGGTCTCAATATTGATCAAACTCACTGATCATGTTGAATATCTCGGTTGCCTAGGGTGGATCACGTGCACAATTTGATGCACTCTTTCTATCCACCTGTTTGTATCTCATATATCACACCTTTTTACTCAATAATCATCAATCACATATTAACGAAACATCACCTATTTTCATCACATCAAAGTAACTAATCAAATCCACTGACAAGGAGTGGAGGATATGAAGACAGTTCCGGATGATGAAAATAGAGCCTGGTACCAAACAAGACAAATCCATCACTGTGAGGGTCATGACAGCGTATGTCTTCTAGAGGTTTTAGTCCAAGTGGTAGCATACATGTACAAGAGACTGGTGAGCGCGGAAGTGGTTCAATTAAACTTAATGTACGTAAAGGAGGTAAGTACCAACTAAGGATGGATTAATTTCAGATCGATAATAGATAGGACAATGCTCAATTGCATCGAGCGAAAATTGATCGCTGATCAAATTGACCGGTCTAATGGTGGTGGCCAATTGTTCGATCCGATCAGTGCCTCTCCCATTTGCATATGCAGTGCGAACGGGTTAAAGAATCATTGGAACAAACATAGATTTCAAGGCATTATGTGGCTATTTGAGCAAACAAGCTACTTTCTGAGGTCGCGGTGGTAGAGGGCGCTTAGTGTGTCTCTGAAAGCTTGTGTACAGGGCCGCTCGAAATCAGCTTCATGTTTTGTTTCCTTTCTTTTTCTTCTTGAACTCTATTATGAAACACGCTATCCCTCATTTTGTCTAGCGCGTAATGGGGTTGTGAAACAATGTGTAACGTTTCGATACGGGGTTGGTGGGGCGGTTACTTTCCTGAAATTGGAATACGGCCGGTTAGACATTGGTCTGAAGGTTGATATCATGAGCGCTTCCCTCCGTAAGGGCTGAGGTAAGTCCCCATAGCATATTCGCACTCTTATTCAGGTTGGGAGCGACATTTGAAATTAATGGTTCGGGTTTGTCTAAGGTAGCAAGAGGTATTAGTATGAGATGGTCAGGCTCTTCTGCATCTCGACAGATCACCTGAGAGCGGGGTAAACCAAAAGCTGGGAATTTGACGCTGACTTCTTGACCTCATCTGAATTCCTGGCTTCCCATCATGGTCACAAATGCTTCTTACAATGGCGTCAACTCTGGGATCCAGGTCGCAGAAACTATGGACCCATCACTGCGAATCTGAGTATGTACAGAATCGGCAGCGCGATTATATGTATCTAATTTGGTTTTGCCGCAAGGTCAACCGGCATCGTTGTTAGACCAAGCATGTCTGCGCGACCTACGAACGACCAACCCCTGCGATGATAAAGAGCGTATCAAGAAAACTAATGGTGGGCTGCTCAAAGACTCCTACCGCTGGATTCTTGAAAACGCAGCTTTCAGAAAATGGCAAAATAGCCAAAGCAATCGTCTTCTCTGGATCAGGGGTGATCCAGGAAAAGGCAAGACGATGCTCCTGTGTGGGATCATCGAGGATATGATATTGTTACATGGAGACACTGCGACTATATCTTTCTTCTTCTGCCAAGCTACTGATATGCGTATCAATAGCGCCACATCCGTCTTACGTGGCTTGATATATTCACTTGTCGAAAAGCATCCATCGCTTCTCCGCCACGTGCGAGCTCGATACGATTCAGCAGGGAAAGACCTGTTCGAAGACACCAATGCCTGGAGTGCCCTCGTATCGATTTTCACCCAAATCCTCGAAGACTCGTCTTTGGAAAGTATCTGCTTTGTGATTGATGCTTTGGACGAATGTCGAGATGGCCTTCAGGACCTTCTGGATCTAATTGTTGAAAGCTTGGCAACTCATCAAGAGATAAGATGGGTTGTCTCTAGCCGTAACGAATATGAGATTACTGAGTGTCTCGACTCTGCAGCTCAGGTAGCTCCGATCTCATTGGAGCTGAATGAGGCATCCGTGTCCGAAGCTGTGAATGCATTCATTCAAAATAAAGTCGACTCTTTGGCCAAGCAGAAAAAATACGACGACAAGATCACTACAACTGTCAAGCGCCACCTGTTAACCAACTCACAAGGCACTTTCCTATGGGTTGCCTTGGTCTGGAAGAATCTTGACCAAACACCAAGAAGGCATGTAATACAGAAGCTTAAGATGTTCCCGCCTGGACTCAATGATCTTTACTGCCGAATGATGGGTCAGGTTCGTGACTCAGAGGACGCAGAGCTCTGCAAACAGATCCTCGGCATTGTAACGGCAGTTTATCGCCCAGTCACGCTTAGCGAGCTAAGTTCCCTCCTTGAAGGGCGAAATGATGGTTTCGATGATCTCGACATCCTCTCTGAGATTATCAGCATATGTGGGTCGTTCCTGACATTACGAGAAAGCACCGTCACGTTCGTTCATCAGTCTGCAAAAGACTTCCTGACTAGAGAGGTATCGACTGAGATATTCCCTGAGGGCCTAGACTGTGAACACCATACTATCTTCTCTCAATGTCTAAATGTTCTTTTCAAGACACTTCGACGGGACATCTTTGACCTCAAATTACCAGGCATATCCACCAAGGATATTAGCGTGCCAAGCCCAAATCCACTGGCATCCGCTGAGTACGCATGTATCCATTGGTTCGAACATCTTGACGCTTGCAAGGATAGCGCAACCCACATATTGAGTTTAAAGAATAGGCAGACACTGGATAGGTTTCTGCAGCAGAAATACCTCCACTGGCTCGAGGCTCTCAGCATATTGGGAAGCATCTCAGATGGCATACGCGCTATGAAAAGGCTAGAAATATTGATTGTGGTACGTTGCCAAGCCGGTGCTAACATGGAGTAGCCTGCTAACATAAGATTATCTCCTAACAGGAGGAGAGTGAGTCAGATGGACTCTTGGAACGAGCTCAAGACGCCAGTAGATTCGTTCAATATCATAGAACAGGTATCGAGAGCAGCCCGCTACAGGTGTATTGCTCACCTCTCGTCTTTAGCCCGTCAAAGAGCATTACTAGAATATCTTTCCAGGAAGATAGACCTGATTGGGTTTTAAACTATCCCATAGTGGAGAAAAGCTGGAGTGCTTGCCTTCAGACTCTTGAGGCGCATGGTAATTGGGTCTCGTCGATTGCCTGGTCGGCAGATGGAAGCCGACTTGCATCAGGGTCTAATGATAAGACAGTCCGAATATGGGATCCAGCGACCGGCCAGAGCGTGTCTACTCTGGAGGGGCATAGTAATTCAGTCCTGTCAATTGCCTGGTCGCCAGATGGAAGCCGACTTGCATCAGGGTCCCAGGATAAGACAGTCCGGATATGGGATCCAGCTACCAGCCAGAGCGTGTCTACTCTGGAGGGGCATAGTGATTTGGTCCTTTCAATTGCCTGGTCGCCAGATGGAAGCCGACTTGCATCAGGGTCCCAGGATAAGACAGTCTGGATATGGGATCCAGCTACCAGCCAGAGCGTGTCTACTCTGGAGGGGCATAGTAATTCAGTCCAGTCAATTGCCTGGTCGCCAGATGGAAGCCGACTCGCATCAGGGTCTTACGATAGGACAGTCCGAATATGGGATACAGCCACCAGCCAGAGCGTGTCTACTCTGGAGGGGCATAGTAATTCAGTCCAGTCAATTGCCTGGTCGCCAGATGGAAGCCGACTCGCATCAGGGTCTTATGATAGGACAGTCCGAATATGGGATCCAGCCACCAGTCAGAGTATGTCAACCCTCTCTACCGGCCTTACTTATTTCCTCCAATTTGACATCGCCCATTCAAACTTACTGCACACCAATGCTGGTACATTTGTCATAAGCTCAGTCGATGATGTGACGCTTGTGCTTAACACTTTTACCCACCCTCCAAAGCAGTATGGATATCGACTTAGCGATGACCGTTCGTGGATAACCTATGGTGGACTCAACCTCTTATGGTTACCCTCAGACTATCGCCCCCGTTATGTCTCTTTTTTTGCTATACATGAGGCCAAAATGGCCTTTCCCTGTTCATCAAATCGCGTCATCTTCCTCGCACTTTCAAAACACTGTCCTATACCTACCCTTTGATTGATGTTTATCTTGATACATACTTTTTTCATTTCCGTCATGCTTTCAATTACAATATCATTGCCAATATGCCGTGCAGAAATGCCCAATGCTCATTCTAGCAATGCCTCTGTATGAGACGGAAGTATTTGAGTGCTTCCCATTATGATCACTGAACACTGATCAACACCCGCACTTTTCAGATCACCACAAACCACTCACTTCCGAGGTGCCACTGTGGGTTAAAGTCACGTGCATTTCCTAATACCCCAGCATCCCCCGCGACTTTCGATCAAGGTTCATTGCACCCGCTCGCTGAGCAAGGGGGTGAGCATGGAAAACCCCCTCTTCTCAGTTGCATCAAAGATGCCAGGAACCTCTACAGTCTCGCTAAAATGGCCCCTCGACTCCCTCCATGCAAGCTAGAGATGATTCGTGATATGATCGAATGTGGATCCTTGACTACTTTACAGATGGCCACGGCTGCTGGGTGTAGCGAGCGCTCAATCGTCAATATTCGCAACAACCTCCGCTTGTTCGGTCATGTTCGAGCTCCGTCCACGCGCGTCGGCTGACGAAGAACCATGACGCCACCGATGATACAGACATTGTGTGAACACCTTGTCGAGAAGCCGGGACTATTTGTGGATGAGATGACCCTGTTCATATGGGATGAGTTCCATACATGGGTGACAAGTTCCAGTCTGAAAAGGGCTCTGGTTTCGGTTGGCTGGTCGAAAAAGGTGGCTCGACAAAAAGCCAAAGAACAGAATGCCGACTTGCGAGATTTTTACCTTCATAATCTATCGGATTTCAAACCATACCATCTGATTTATGTAGATGAATCTGGTTGTGATAAACGTATTGGGTTCAGGCGCACTGGATAGTCTCCGGTGGGGTTGACGCCATTGCAAATATCAAAATTCCATCGCGACCAGAGATACCAGATCCTGCCTGCATACGGGCAGGACGGCGTTATCCTGTCTCGTGTATTTCAAGGCTCGACTGATGCAGCTGTGTTCGAAGACTTCATTGAGCAGCTCCTCAAGCACTGCGGACGGTGGCCTGAACCAAAATCCGTCATTGTCATGGACAATGCATCGTTCCATCATTCTGACCGACTAAAGGAGATATGTGCCGCGGCCGGAGTAAAACTAATATATTTACCTCCGTACTCACCAGACTTCAATCCCATCGAGGAGTTCTTTTCCGAATTGAAAGCATACATCAGGCGCCACTGGTCAAAATACGAGCAGAGTCCGGAGCAAGGGTTTCAAGTCTTTCTTGAGAAATGTATTGAAGCTGTCGGGTCACGCGAATAAAGTGCAATTGGGCATTTGCAACATGCTGGCGTTGTCATTGAAGACCGCGCCTGAGGTATGCTCAATTTCATCAATGACACTAGGCTTGACCATATCCATATACAGGAAGATGAGGGTCATTTTGTTAAGCAGATAGAGTTTATTGTGCTTTTTGGGAGGGGAATATTATCAATACTGCATATCAAAATTCAATTAGAAGCAATGAAACGCAAAACCTTGATTAAAATCTATTAACAGAGGAAGTTCCAAATATCGTGACTCGCATCCAAATCCACATGACAAATTGAGATCTCGTCACCAGCTACCTCCCACTGCCAACCGACCGCTGGTATCTACAAGGATCGAACACACCCTAGAAAATCTCAAAGACGAAGTTGATAATCACATTCCGCTCAAGTCCGCCTGTTATTCTACTTTGGGCGATAGCGGAGAAGCCAAAAGCCACGCGTCTGATGAGGATGATTCCGACCCTGAGCGACCACGGAAAAAGCGTGCAATTAGTGTTGATGGGCTACAAAACACTCCGCCAGTTTCACTCCCTGGTCCCCATGCTCTAAGGTGGTCTGATCCGGATCCTTACACTTCGATACCCCCAACAAGCCAACAAACGAATGACAGGGTCGATATTGTCAAGCTGATTCGGGAATCGAGACTTGAAAATGCAGCGAAAGCAGGTGAGAATGATGAGGTGAAAGAGAATTTGGATTTCATTGCTCTCGGCATGATACCAGAAATCGAACTTGAGAGAAACGCTCCCGAGAACGCCCTTGACATACCTTCGCAGAGACAGACAGGCCGAGGAAGCATTGGTCCTGTGTCAAGGCGAAGTCGAATCCGTTGGGGTACGGTTAAATGTCGCTCTCGAAATACTAGCAAGCTTGGAAGCAGGTGCAAACGTGACGGATCCGTCATTAAGAAGTGGAGACCACAGTCTCAAGAGACAGGCACCCCTTGGCTTGAACCAATTCCGCCTTGCTTGCCCATAAAATATCAGTCAGTATACTATTCGTGCTCTGGGTTAATTGGATTATTCCTTCTAATGCAAACTAGGTTAGATTACGAGATTATCAGCTTCTACAACTGGGTCAAGCCACAAGATTTCGAAAACATTGTCCGCAGAGATCTGGTCGAGCGGTTGAAAGCTGCATTTCACAGCCGATATACTGGCATTGAAATCCACATCTTCGGCTCTTTTGCCTCTGGTGTCCATCTGTCTACCGCCGATATTGACTTGGTGTTACTGTCAGACAGCTTTAGACACACAGGAGTGCGTTCATTTGGCGAGAAGAAAAGGGAGCTTACATGCAATTTCTGATTTTTTAAGACGCATTCATATCGCTGTCCCTGATTCGATTGAGTGCGTTGCCCATGCTCGAGTGCCGATTGTGAAATTTGTGGATAGCTTGACTGGGATAAGCGTCGATATGTCTTTTGACAACAACAGTGGTTTGATCGCCGCCGAGACCTTCCAAGTATGGAAGAAGCAGTTTCCTATAATGCCCATTATTCTGTCAGTCGTCAAATTTTTCTTGTTGATCCGTGGTCTCCATGAGGTCCGAAGCGGCGGACTAGGAGGATTTTCTACCACTTGCTTGGTCACAAGTTTCCTCCAGCATCTGCCTCAGCAACCTACACAGCCAACTCTTGGAAGTAGTCTCATGGATTTCTTCAATTTTTATGGAGATAAGTTTCGATTTGATCAGGTGGCAATCTGTTTGAATCCTCCGGGATATTTCAGCAAGGTACGTTGGGTGGAAATGATACATTTTCTGCATTAGCTGACCCGTGAAACACAACAGAAATCATTTGGAAATCCGAATCGTCTCACCATTGAAGATCCAAACGATACGTACAATGATATCTCCAGTGGGGCAAAGGCGACCGACTTGATTTTCCGTACCTTCGCTGGTGCTCATACCACTCTGAAGAATTGTTTGGAGTCCCTCACTTCCGTCCAAAGCCCAAACAAAAGCATTTTGGGGTCAATAATTGCAGCGAACTTTGACAGATACACTGAACAACGCAACCAACTTCACCCAGTCTTCATGACAGAAGAGAGATTTGCTAAGCACAGGATGTCTCCATCGCCGCCGTCGGAATCTTGGCATGTCAGCGGAGTGCGTTCTGCTCCCCGGCCGCTACCTGTTGGGCCTCCGAATAGACGGTTCCCCGTGATTCCAGTGCAAAGACCTCGGAACGACGCAACATCCAAATCGAAATACACGAGAGCCGAATCAGAAGACAATCCTGATGAGCATCTTAGCGAAACAAAGCTTGTCAAGCCTCGCAGGGGCCAAAGAGGACCACAAGCTCGCGGGTGGCGCGCAGCAAGAATGAAACGCCTCAGACCTGATCTTCAGAATCTACCCAGCTCCCTCACAGTCAAACAGGCTTTGCAGCACGGTGGCTATGCTACCAACGGGGAAATGAAACGTGACTTGAACTCGAGGGAACGGAAACAAGCCGCGGCGTGAGTGGATTTTTCCTGGGCTTTGGAACACTCCAGCAATGAACCTCTTTGGACCTTTCAGCCAGTACACGACAGCGAGCAACCACCGGTTCCTATCATGCCTTCCGTCGAGACTTCTCCTACAGCTGCAGAAGCGGTGCTTCGCTAGACCAAGTACACAACAGTTGCGTAAAGGGTCGGAGCATGTGGACTATCCGCTTTTTCCTGTGGCCTCTGCATCCTCAGACCCGCCATCGCTACGTCGATCAGGTAGGAAGAGACGGGCTCCTGACCGATACAGGGCGTAGATGATTCGCGCACAATCTAGCCAGGCAGCTTCCAGCATGCACCTGTAACATGGTCAGTCGGCAGAATGGCGTGTCAAAGCTGCGGTCGGGGAGGCAGGTGTCATGTCAAAGTTGACAGTCACCTAATGGTTGGTATAGAGGAATTTCCTGAGGTAATCTTGAAGGCTGTGTGGGCCGTCTGCGACGAGTGCTTTCAAAAGGCCGCTCCTGGTAAGTGCATTTTTTAGATAAATGGTACACTAGGGCTTCTGAGAAGTGAAGTTTTGGAGATCTGAGATTTTTTTCCTTGAGTTCTTTCAAGCTGAGCAGAATTCGATTCCATCCACTATGCTCTTACCGCGGAATGAGAAACGCGGCCTGAAACAGCTACTTGAGCTTGCGGGTCAACATTTTGACCGGAATCATATCATGACTCCAAGATCCAATTGCGAATTTGTTTTGTCTTCCCATTAATATCTGAAGCACCGGTACTACGTGTCTGTAGTACCTTTCAGCAGCAGCACTGTCCATTCCCTTTCGTAAAAATTCGTCGCGGCAATTTTCCTACCTGCCAGCAATCTTTCGAGCCCCGTACATCTGAAATGGTGCACTATGTCCACATCATCGCCAGACAACATGGAGTTCCACCAAGCGAGATAAGTGACCATATCGGGCGCTTAGAGGAGGCCATTGGGCTTGCATTGCCACCAACTTCCATTTGGCATGGAATGGCCTATCATCAAGGTCGCAAACGACAACACCCGTCCTGGTTTCGAAAAGAGCTCATTTTTGCATGTACGGGTCACGAAGGTTTGAAGCGCCTGGATGAGATATGGTATCAGACCTGGGTGTTTCTGATCAATACAAAAATTGAAGGTGATATGAACGAGAGGATCATACGAGCGGTCTTGGGCTTAGAAATGACAGTGGAAAAGGTAGAACATACCGAAGGGGGACACTTTGATGCGTTGACAAAGCGCATGCTCCACTTGTGGAGCGAGATGGCATGGTCGCACAATGGGCAAGCCGGGAAAGAAGACGCTCAAGGTTGTTGGTATTTTGGGAGACGGTTCGAAATTGGGAGGCATGTCTGATGTAAAATCACTACCATGCTCGAAGGTACTTTGCCATATCCAAACGTGCAAATTACTTGCTGAATCTTGTGCTAGGCGAGGAAGATGATCAAAGAGCAATACGAAATGCTACAAGAATGATGACGCTTCACTGTGCAGACATCTGGTGGATCACCACAACGGCAATTAACATCACCAGAATGGAGACTGCGGAGCTTGACGGTGAACGCACTAGATTATGGTTCAAAATGTTTTTTTCTGGTTCAATATCACTCTCGCTTCTTCAAAAACCTTCCTTTCCGTCTTCTCTCTTCTTATGTATGATAGTTCTCGTGGCTTACAATTCATCATCATCATGCAACTCATCTCCTCCCTCGCTGCCTTTGCCGGTCTCGCTCTGGCCCAGAATGCGGTAATCGGACTACCTACCCCCAATCAGACAGTCGCTTCTGGCAGAGATATCATCGTTCAAATGCAACGACCTGTATGATGATCTCCCATTCTTCTGGCCAAAATATAATTTTCTAACCGCATTCAGGATTCCTTGACTGGCTCGACAGAGATGGCGGTCGCTATTGGTCTTATCTCTTGCCTCCATCGAGTCTGTCAGCCTGCCAGCAACATCATGGGAACCATTCTTTACAACGGGGTGTTTGACCCCGTGTACCACGAGGCCTACCTGCCACCTTACCAGAACTTCACTGTCACAGTTCCCTTTTCCTTTGCGGTAGGTCAGGCCCAGATCAACGTGGCTCATGCCACACTTATCGGAGTGAGTGACCCTTGATCACAATTGTCGGCTTGTATTCTGCTGACCGTTGATACAAGGCTGGCCCGTATCCTAATCTGGAAACTCTCAATCAGACTATAATCATTTCCTAGAAGAATGTCCATTTTCCTCGGCAAATCTTTTGCTAGCGGGCTGCAGTCTAGATGTCGGGTCTTCATCATTTTGTAATACTCATTGATCTCAAGTTCAAGAATCGAAAATTATTCGATCCGGTGGTAGTCAACAATTTTTTTTGATTTCAACTTTTTATGTTTTGGGTCAACATCATAGAACGAGCCTAAAGATAGATGAAGTCTCTAATGTAGTAGAGAAGTTCCATAAATCATCATATTAGCATGTATGCCATCTTGATCTGGGCTGCAGAATTGTTCGTCGTGGAGTCGATGGGTGGCATGGCACGAGCGGGTCCGTGAAGAAGGGGCAGTGGATAAAATCTTCTCGCGCACAGGCCCACGCCAAGAGGCCATGCCGCGCGCCAAACCGAACATCCATTACCACTCGATGTCGGGCTCCTTCCTGAAACGCAACAACCGAACATCCTAGTTGATGGGTGCTTTTTGACAGCGACAATGACCTTCTTGTATTGGCCAGGTCTACATAATGAAACGCGAAACACCGTCTGATCTACATGGCTGCAACAGTGTTGGTGACGTGCGACCAGCAAAAGCGCGCCGGCGAGAAAGCCCCAGCACGAATCCAGAGCTTTGGAAGAAAGAGCACGAGCACAGCAAAGCGCAGCAACCGCTTTCTCCCTTCTCTCCTGAATGTGATAGTAAAGTATGTTTTGACCCTCAACTTGCGACAATCATCACACTGACTGCCTAGTAGCCTGATACCCTCGAACACCGAACCACCACCCCTACATCCCTCCCGAATGCAACCGACGAGCTTACGGACGATATATACCAGTGGATCCCTGCACCGTCGGAGATTGCCGCGCTTGAGGCGATGAGCCAACCCGCGTCGAAACGATCCCGATCGTGTTCGATCTCCACTGATCGAGGGCGTGCTCGATCGGTCTCGTCGGACAACAGCGAGAGCAGCTCGGCTCGGGACACCAGGTCATATGCGTACCGAGCCGTCAACTATGTCACAATTCTAGAGACCAAAGGCTGCTTCATGCGACAGTCCCCCGCCGGTCCGATGCCCGAGGATATTGCGCTCTGCGAGCGTCTTCTCAGTCAGCCCATCGAACCCCCTAGTGGTACACTGCTCGAAGACGAATATATCACAGCTTTTCATGATGCGTTGCAGAATCGATCCGAAGCGCGTCTCTTGGTAGACCTACACCCTCTGATTATGCCCTCCGCGGAGAATCAATACATTCAGGGGAACCAATCTCTGAAGGATGTGATTGATGGGTACAATGATCCTTGGCTGAAGACCGAGCCGATTTATGGTCCCAAACCGCAGCCGGATCATGCGCGAGGCTTGAGATGGTCGACCTTTTCCGAGACTCAGCGGCGCAAACTCGGGATCAAGCCTGACGAGAAATCACCCTACACGGTACGAGAGGACATGTACTTTCCATACTTGACCGCAGAAATCAAATGCGGGAACCAGGCACTGGATTTTGCCGACCGGCAAAATATGCACAGTATGTGCATTGCCCTGCGAGCCGTGGTCTCTTTGTGCCAAGCGGCAGGCTGTACGGAAGAGGTGCATCGGCGGATATTGGGCTTTTCGATATCGCATGACCTCGGAGGCCTTCGAATATATGGCTACTATCCAGAGATTGATGATGCCAAGGTGTCATTCTACCGCTGGCCTGTTGCGCAACCCAATATCTGGGTCAAAGAGAATCGGTGGACATGTTATCAGTTTGTGGAGAACCTGGACCGTGAATTTCTGCCTATTCATACTCACCGGTTGATGCGGATCCTGGAAGCAGTCCCGGACCCAGACGAAGATGATTTCGATGTCGAAGTCGACGAACTTGACTCTCAGGTGTCCATGGTCGGATCGCAGGAACGCCCGGGGTATCGCAGAGCAGCATCTTCGCAGAATCGTGGTCTACAACCAGAGCTACGTATGATGGTACAAACATTACAACAACAATTGGGAGAACAGAAGGAACGAGAAGAGAAGCGAGAGGCGGATCAGAAGGAAAGAGAAGAAAAGCTCCTCGCTCAATTGGAACAGCAAAAGCTACGGGAAGAGAAGCGAGAGGCGGAACATAAGGAAAGGGAAGAAAAGAGAGAAGCAGGTTATAAGGAACTGCAAAGCAAGCTTCTTACTCTTTTAGAACAGAGAAGATAAGTCGAAATGACCATTCGAACTGTGTTTATGCCTTCTTTGTTGATCATTCCTGTGCAGAGATGTGGTGGTTTTTGAGTTACACTTCCCAACGTGACTAGATGGGCGAATCGGACCTGATGTAGCTCGCTCCGTGAATTCTATTTTGTTCCTTCCTTCTTCGTTGTTGCGCTCTAACCCGAATGGGGGCCAATCGAGCTACAAAAGCAAGATATGAATCTCCAAAGCGCTCAGGGGCACACCCTGGTATTTGAGAGATCTCATTTGCCTAGAGCTCGCGTGTGCTGAAGGCGCCTCCTGCTACAAGCACATGAGGCCGTGCTAGGAGAGAGCAGTGCAGAAGTTGTGGTGGCAAATGCTAACGTAAACGACGAATGAAGCGAGCCTGATTTTGTGTTGGATGACAACGAGTATAAGTGCGATGGAATGGCAAGTCGATAATTTGTGGTGGTCGAAGTGCGGCTACAGGCACTGGCACTGTTGCCCTCCCAATGTGCAGTGGATAACATGCCGATCACATTTGGAGCGCACAAGCTAGAGCCATCAATCCAGCCCATCAGGCGATTGGCAATGTCAGACGCGTAGCAGTGAGTGGCAACTCCTTGACCCAGGTTGCCGCTAGAGGCAACAGCACCGGAATTGTAAGCACGAGCGGCCTTGTAGAACGAAGCCACATTTGTTGGACCGCCCTCCTGGGCTATCAGTGCCTTCAGGCCAGGCCCGTCTGGGGTTCCCTCGACGCCATCCATGATCATTTGATGGATCTCGCTTTCAGGACAAGGGTTCTGGATGGCTCCATCCCTGTTGCAGGAACCCGAGCCCTCATGGCTTTGCATCAGTCCGGGGTTGATTACACCATTGTCAGTGGTCTGAACCCGAACGCACCCTTTGCTTTCTTGCATGACGACGGACAAGATGAAGCGCGCGTCGACGCCGCTCGACTGCTCCACTTGGAGGATGGCATCCTTGATGGAATTGGTCTCGTCATCTGAGTTATTGGGTAGACCCCACTGGGAGCAACTCGCGGACATGATGGCCTTGTTATTCTCAAACATGGCTTCAAAAGAGTCAATCCATTGGTCAATGCCGGGCCAGCCGTCGGCGACCATACCGTTACCACCCAGCACCGCGGCATAAAGACCAGTGCTGCGCTCGTGAAGGGAATTTCCGGTTTCCTCCGCACGACTAGACAGATGGGAAGAGGCGTTAGACGCTTCAGCAATCAATTGAAGGCTTTGGATCGCCAGAAAGAATGACCAAATGGCCATCTTCATACTGAGGAAGCGACTTGTCGGAAACAAAGCGTTGAGCTTGAGAGGAAAGAATGCCCACTGATGTAAAATACGACAAAGGTTTTGGGAAAATATTGAGAAGATCGAGAGATCTCTTGATATGAAGCTTAAAGTGGGATATAGAAGCCTTTGCTGATGCTCATTTGGATCCGGGAAATTGATTCGATATGGCTAAGCGAAAACCAACGACCAGGTGTAGAAAGAAAACACCTTTCTTTGAAAAAAGGCACCTTTTGCGTTAACCACTGAAAGACAAGTCCCATTGCTGCACCAAGATAGTGATGCCAAGAATATGGTGGCTCAAGAAACCTTTGATTGATGACACGAATTGTGCAGACGTCTCACACTTCAGGAGAGCATATCGATTGACAAAGACACTGATTCATATTGTCGAGCCGAAGGCCTGATGTTGACTATGATCGCAGTTTTGCCTCGCGAAACGAACTGTAGCGAAACAACGAGCACGCAGGAAATGCAGAACTAGCTGCTGGCATGTTCAACCTACGGCTAGCACTGAATTTGGCCATAAATCCGATGCATACTCAGTTATTTGAGACGATACATCTGGTTTCTGGGTCGCTTACTTGTGCGGGTCATGGTCACACGCCCGGTACCATTATTTTGTGATTTATTCTCAAGAACGTTGGTGCACCCCAAAATTGATCGCTGGGGTCAATGTGTTTCATTCTTCTTCCTTGTTCCATCTTGATGGCATCTCAACGTCACGAGATCAAAATTCTGATCCCCTAGAGCAGGAAAACTCAGTATCCTGAAAATGATGGGAGACTCATTACTTTTCTGTACACATGGACGGTCATGGCGTACACCATGATCGTTGGTAAGGCCAGAAAAGCATAAATAGCTCCCACTGAACATGTCAGTCTAGCTCAGAGCAACCATTCCTCTGACCTGTCATTATGCCATCCAATGGTGTTTCCAAAACGTCGGGCTCAAAGCCAGACAGCATTGATAAGCTCAGAAAGGTGGCAGGGAACACTTCTCTGTCTTCACCGAAATTGGAAAGTGCACGTCGACAAGCAATCATGTCCGATGCGAATCCAAGTATGAGCACGAAGTCGTATTCCGACGAAAGCAACTCAGACCAGACGCAACAGAATGTCACTGTGGACGACAATTCAACACCGCACCCTGATAAGCCCATCCGATCGATAGAGGGTGATGAAGGTAATGAGATTGAGATGACAAATTTTGGCGCAAACCGCAATGTCGACGACCAGCGAGAACCCACGCAAAACGGCTCATTGGATGTACAAAATGATCCAAACCATTCTGACGTGCGATCATCGCGCGAGCAGAGTGTCGGTAGCCTAGCTGGGGGGCTTAGACGTTTGGCTATTCTCGATCCGCCTATGAAAAAGAACAAAGGTCGCATTACACAAAGTCCATCTCCTGATCCCAATGAAGTTGTGGATGGATGGGGTACTTTGAGTAATTCGAACTTCGTGATTGTGCAAGAAGGTCCAACCGCCTATGCCAAATTCACATTCAAATGGAGACACGGATACACCAATGGTATCACTGCC